TTACTTTTCTAAAATAATGGCATGAGAGAAAATTAAAGACCAAGAATAGTTCCATTTGCCAGTAGAAAACCAGACTTTTATTCTCTATCTGAAATTGTGAAGGGAAGATCTGTATGCAAGCAAAGAATTAGGAACTGTCAAAACATCTTCTCCCAAGCTATCTGAAAGTACTTGTTTTTTGCATAGTGTCAAAGTATTGCACTTCTGTGGTACAAAGCATTGAACCAGTTATGGGGGAACACAATAATGTGTAAGATACAGTCCTTATTTCTGCCAGATGGAGGAGCTAAAGTACCTATACCTGTACAAATACAAAATAATTGGAAAGCTGTTGGATGCTCTTAGATGTTCAAGTTAGGTTAGGCAATGCTAACAGTATGTACATGGCTTTTGAGCCAAACTTTGAAAAATGAAGGATTGGCTAAAACCAATAAGAGACCTCAGTATTTGGTTTTCTGTTCCTGTGTTATTTTGCTAAGGATAATAGCCTCCAGCAGCATCCATATGCCTGCAAAGGACATGATCTTATTCTTTTTTATGGCTGCGTAGTATTCCATGGTGTATATGTACTACATTTTCTTAATCTAGTTTATCATTGATGGGCATTTAGGTTGATTCCATGACTTTGCTATTGTGTATAGTGCTGCAATGAGCATATGTGAGTGTGTGTCTTTATAATAGAATGACTTCTATTCCTTTGGGTATATACCCAGTAATGGGATTGCTGAGTTGAATGGTATTTCTGTCTTTCTGTCTTTGAGGAATTACCATACTGTCTTCCACAATGACTGAACTAATTTACACTCCCACCAGCAGTGTAAAAGTGTTCCTTTTCCTCCTCAACCTTGTTATCATCTGTTATTATTTGACTTCTTAGTAATAGCCTTTTTGACTGGTGTTAAATGGTATCTCATTGTGGTTTTGTTTTTGTTTTTTGTTTGTTTGTTTTGTTTTTTTGAGATGGAGTCTTGCTCTGTAGCCCAGGCTGGAGTGCAGTGGCATGATCTCAGCTCACTGCACGGTCCGCTTCCCAGTTCACGCCATTCTCCTGTCTCACTCTCCCGAGTAGCTGGGACTACAGGTGCCTGTCACCATGCCCGGGTAATTTTTTGTATTTTTGGTGGAGATGGGGTTTCACCGTGTTAGCCAGAATGGTCTTGATCTCCTGACCTCGTGATCCGCTCACCTCGGCCTCCCAAAGTGCTGGGATTACAGGCGTGAGCCACCATGCCCAGCCTCTCATTGTGTTTTAATTTGCATTTCTCTAAAGATCAGTGATGTTGAGCTTTTTTTCATGATTGTTGGCCACATGTATGTATTCTTTTGAAAAGTATCTATTCATGTCGTTTGTCCACTTTTTTATGGGATTGTCTTTTTCTTGTAAATTTGTTTAAATTCCTTATAGATGCTGAATATTAGGCCTTTGTCAGGTGCAGAATTTTCAAAAATGTTCTACCATTCTGTAGGTTGTCTGTTTACTCTGATGATAGTTTCTTTTGCTGTGCAGAAGCTCTTTAGATTAATTAGATCCTATTTGTCAATTTTTGGTTTTTTTGCAGTTGCTTTTGGTGTCTTCATCATGAAATCTTTGCCCATGCCTATGTCCTGAATGGTGTTGCCTAGGTTATCTTCCAGGGTTTTTATATTTTGAGTTTTACATTAAAGTCTTTAATCCATCTTGAGTTAATTTTTGTATATTGTGTAAAGAAGGGGTCCAGTTTCAATCTTCTGCATATGGCTAGCCGGTAATCCCGTGATGTGCTTTCAATAATACAGAGTACATCAATATTTATAAAATGTGAATTATGGAACTATTTCCTGTACCTCATAGGTATTTCAAGGAGGAAAATTAATGACAGATATTACACTGAGTAACAAGGTAGTGTGAGTTTTAAAACAGTTATTGTGCAGTGTGTCTCTTCATTTTCCAGTATCAGGGAAAAAATGTTATTAAATTCTACAATTAAATATGTTGCACAAATGTGCTGAGTCCATTTACATTTTATGGAATAATTTCTTTTGTTCTGCACTAGCTGGCTGGCAGAGAAATTGAACAATGTTTGGTGATGTTAAAGTTGTAATTTTGTCAGCAACAGAATTAGGAAATATAAATATAAATCTTGAAGTAAAACGTGTTGTGTTATCTTTGGCTACTCTAGGGGCTAAAATACAACTTTCACCACCACTTCTCAGTGGACTTTTCCTGGAAGTCAGTTGTCATTGTTCTGGCAAGTTTCTTTTCATCCATCCTGAATTGTGTTAACATTTAAAGGGAAGGTTATAAAGAAGTATATTTTAGGGTATCTACCCAAAGGAAAAGAAGTTATTATATGAAAAAGACACATGTATGTGCATGTTTATAGCAGCACAATTCACAATTGCAAAATTGTGGAACCAACCTAAATGCCCACCAACCAACAAGTGGATAAAGAAAATGTGGTGTATTTACACCATGGTATGCTACTCAGCCATAAAACAGAATGAAATAATGGCATTTACAGCAATTTAGATGGAGTTGGAGACCGTTGTTCTGTGAGAAGTAACTCAGAAATGGAAAACTATAAATTCTCACTTATAAGTGGGAGCTAAGCTATGAGGATGCAAAGGCATAAGAATGATATAATGGACTTTGGGGACATAAGGGGGAGGGTGGGAAGGGGATGAGGGATAGAAGACTAAATATTGGGTACAGTATACACTGCTCCAGTGACGGGTGCACCAAAATCTCAGAAATCACCACTAAAGAACTTATTCATGTAACCAAAATCACCTGTTCCCCAAAAACTACTGAAATAAAATTTTTACAAACCAAATACATTTTAAAGACAATTTAAAAAAATTACAATAGTAAGAACCTGGAAACAATACGAAAATGTGGAACATAGAAAGTATTGTCTGAGCGTGCAATCCCAGCACTTTGGGACGCTGAGGCAAATGGATTACCTGAGATCAGGAGTTCAAGACCAGCCTGGCCAACATGGTAAAACTCTGCTCTACTAATAACACACACACACAAAATTAGCCGGGCATGGTGGCAGGCGCTTGTAATCCTAGCTACTCAGGAGACTGAGGCAGGAGAATCACTTGAACCCAGTAGGCAGAGGTTGCAGTGAGCCGAGATCACTCCATTGCACTACAACCTGGGCAGCAAGAGTGAAACTCTGTTTCAAAAAAATAAAAATAAAAAAATAAAGTGTCTTCCACAATTGGAGTATGTTCTTCCATATCTTCTCCTATGCCTATATGATAATACTGAATATGTGTGTCACTTAATTGTGCTCATATATATATGTTGTAGGATATACTATACCTGATATTCTGTGACTTTGATTTTTAACCTCAACAATATATCATGGTATTCTTCCTGGTCAGTACATATAGTCCTATCTCATTTTTTCCAAAGGCTATAGAGGATATTACTCTATAAATGAAAAAAATGGAACCTCTGTTGATTAGCATGTATCATATATATATCAGTATGTATGTTTAATGTATACTTATTTTATTGCATAATTAATAGCTGTACAGAATTTTAAAAATTGATACATTGTAACTTTACATATTTATGAGGTACAGTTTGATGTTTCAGTACATGTATATCTTGTATATTGTTCAAATCAAGGTAGTAAACATGTCCCTTACCTCATTCATTTATAATTTACTTATGTTGGGAACATTCAAAAACAGTTATTCTAGCTATTTTGTAACATAAAACACCTTACTGAGAACCATAGTCACCCACTGTGCAACAGAACACTACGGGGTTTTTATTTTCTGTGTAGACAAGTCTGCCTTACTCTAAGAAAAGATTGCCCCAGAGACCATCTTTTCATTGTTTTTTTTTTTCAGCAGTTTTTGTTGTTGTTGTTGTTGTGTGTGAAGTTTTATACTGGTTGTGAATATAATTTTGAACAATATATGGAGGACTTCATTGACTGATTTATTAACCTTAGACACTATGTGAGTAAAGCAGGACTGTACTGCAAGGAGATGCTAAACTTTTGACATTCCCAAGAGAGAAGTTTTATAAATTTCAGAATTCCCCTGATTTATGCATGCCTCTCTGTCACTTAATTATGCTCATAAAATTCTGCTTAACTAGCACTGGGATTCTTAACTTGGAGAGAAAAGAGTATGCTACCACTGCAACCTACCAGAAGAACATATCAGAATCTTTGGGAAAATCTTTTCAAAATATGCATATCTTCCTTCCTACCCTCTACCCCCAAGTGGAACATGCTTACCTGATTGAAAATCACTGCATGTAATTAGTTGTTACTAACTGGAATGTAACTATCTGGGAATGTGTTGTACAGATAGTGTAAAAGCAAAAAACAAACAGCAACAACAACAACAAACTTGTCAAAGTAAGAATTATATATATGTCAGCTTAAGGCATTTAAGTGGTGAAGAGGTTTTTTTTTTTCCCCCCCCCCCCCCCCCCAAGGTTAAGGGGCTTTGTCTTAAATCTCCTCATTTTCTGTTTATCCCATTATTTCATTATCGATCCTAGCAGAGGACTCTCCTTTATAAAATTCACTTTACAAGAGTTCTTGTGTAAACATTAATGAGTAGAGACTAACAAAACAAAGTAGGGATGTGGATGCCATAGCATGGATGGGGTCATTGCTGAGATGAGTGACTGTCTTCTGTATTGTAGACAAGGGCAAGTCAAATTTGTATCCAGCAAAATCACTATCAGGGGCCTTCAGTTCACTATAATAGTTGAAACTCTGACCACTAATTCTGTGAATATCTAACCAAATCTATCATCTTTTATACCTTTAAACCTAGTAGAAAACTCTTAGAGGTTTGTGATTCTGTCTATTTGAAGATCACCTTACTGGGTCCAGTGGATACTAAAATGACGATGACAAGGACATGCTTGTCTGGAGGGTTGGTTCACAGTGCTTTGAGCTTTCTCTGTAGCACCTGAGGGTAAGTAAAAAGTCTAAGAGGAGAATTTCTAATGGAATTCTCTCTGTCTGTTTTATCTGCAGACTGCAGCTGAATATGTAAAATCTCGACTCCCAGAGGCCCTTAAACAGCATCTTCAGGACTACGAGAAAGACAAAGAAAATAGTGTATTGTCTTACCAGACCATCCTTGAACAGCAGATTTTGTCAATTGACCGAGAAATGCTAGAAAAATTGACCGTATCCTATGATGAAGCAGGTATGTTTGTTTTTAAAACACACATTTTTTTTTTCTCCTTACAAAAAAATTTCATTATAAACCTTGGTTAAACTTGGTAAAAGGTTAAGGGCAAACTGGATTCAAAGTTATGTAATGTGGACTAATAGTAAGTTTCTTCTCTGCAGTTTTAGTCTCAAGATGGTCAGAAGATTCCTAAAAATGGATCTTAAATATCAAATACCTTTAAAATTTTGGTCTTTTTTATTGGGATTTTTTTTGGCCTTTTATTAACCGGGTACTCCTAAAGTGTTATTTCAATTTGGATAGCAACTGAAAACTTTTACATCCGAGAATCCAAGAAATGTTATTTGATTCAAATATTTGAGTTAATTTTAGTTGTTTTCTTTTCTAAAGAGGCATTTTTTTTTTCTCAAACTGTTAAGCTAATCATTACTTTCTTTTCCTTAGCAACTCAGACACTACCACATCAGAGACTTCATCTCACTGCCTGCCGTAGGTTCTTCCCATCCAAGGGAGCTTATTAATGAAGTCATGGACAGACCTCCTTATAACATTATTTCCTCCTTATAACATTATTTTAATCTATTATGTGGTCTGTCAGCTAAGACCCAATTTTAATTAAATGAGTATAGTATTACTTGGAATTATTAAAATCTTTAATAAAATTCAACTTAAGCAGCAGAAATACCCTGATTAAAATTGCTGTACCTCTCCACCTCCCCCTTTCAAAAAAATTGGAGGAAAAAGTACAGGAAAAATGGTTTCTAATGGTCAAATGTTAATGGTATTCTTCTATTAATGCCAAGAACTTCTGTTTCTATTTTTACAAGGATTTTTTAGCATGTATCTTATTTTCTTCATCAGAATCTATGCATGCTCAGTACTTTCTTACCACTTGATTTCAAGTTCAAATAGCAAACAGAAGAGCAAATTAAACAAAACAAAACATTATAGTACATTCGCCTAACCACTTAACCAATATTTCTAGTTACTAAGCTGCCCCCGTGTATATTCCACCCTCTAACCCCTTCACCTCCCTCTGAGGCAGGATCTATATTTCCAGTTTTGCCCAGGACATCTCTGCTTCTCTGATTCTTCTTTGCTTTTTTTCATTTTCCAGACACATTGGCTTTCTTCTGCCTAGCATTTTCGTTATTTTCAATATTCTTCTCATTGGTATTCTTATTCATCTCTTCTTTCATCCTTAATGGAATAAAGTAAGGTTTTGATCAGTCCCAACCAAAATCATATTTAAATATTCATAGCATCTTATAGATCATAGAACTCATATAGTCCATTCACTATGACCATTTTATGGTGAGAAAACAAACTCATGGACTTGCCTGAAATAATGCAGTTAAAAAACTGGGACACCAACTTCCTAATTACTAATCAAGCTATGCTTTTACTTCACTGATGCAGGTTCTCATTTGCTCAGTAAGCAATTGTTGAATGCATGGCAATATACTAGGCAGTTGAAACAAAGAGAAAAGCAGTGAAAACATGGAAAGGAATCTGAGATGTAAAAAATAGATCTTGCTTAAAGTCTTGCTGGGGGGCTAAAACATACATGTATGAGCTCTAGAGAAAAATTTCTGAGGAGTTTGGGACTAAATACACCCTGTAATATCTTCAAGTTATTAAAGTTAAGATGAAATGTGGAGTCAAGAAATAGTAGAAATGGCTGAAATTTTCCATGAAATTCTGTAGAGGGGGCATTATTTTAAACCTTGAAGGGCAAATGGTGGGCAAGTATTTGTGAAGAGAAGGGGGATGCATTCTAGTGGGTGAAGGGGCACAAGGAGACATCAAGTTGAGCATGAACATTAGCTGCAATCACCCACCACTCAAGTTTTTCCTGCCTCAGGAGTAATTTTCCACTCTCCTGCACTGTTGTTGAGCAGCAACTGATCCTCAGAGGTACACTTGCACATGGCTTTTAGGGGCTAATAGTTTGGCATAGAATTAATCTGTCAATAATGTAGCATGAAACGGTGGAAATAAACACAAAATTGAGAGTTAGAGGATCTAAGGTCTAGGCCTTCCCCCAGGTTAATACTGGTGTGATCTTCAGCAAATTAACCTCTTAGAACCTATGTTTCTTCATCTGTAAAACTGGGCTAATGTAATCTCACAGGGTTATTATAACAATAAAATATTATCATGTTTGGGGAAGTCCTTAGAGATCATATTGCAAATGCTAATTAATGCCACTAGTGATGAATGAGAACAGATTTGGACCTTGTCTATCCCTTAAACCAGTGTAAAGTATACCTGACCCTTGCACAACATGGGAGTTAGGGATGCCAACTCTCCATGCAGTCAAAAATTAGCATAAAACTTTTGATTCCCCAAAAATCTTAACTACTAATAGCGTACTGTTGACCAGAAACCTTACTGATTACATAAACCGTCAATTAACACATATTTTGTATGTTTTATGTATTTATACCGTATTATTATGACTAATTAAGCTAGAGAAAAAAATTTATGAAAATAATAAAAAAGAGAAAATATATTTACTATTTATTAAATGGAAGTGGACCATCATAAAGGTCTTCATCCTCACTGTCTTTACTTTGAGTAGACTGAACAGACTGCTGAAGAGGAGAGGAAGAGCTGGTCTTGCTGTCTCAGGGGTGTCAGAGACAGAAGAAAATGCACATATAAATGGGCCCATGCAGTTAAACCTATGTTGTTCAAGGGCCAGCCGTATTCTAACTTAGTCTTTTCTTGGCATGTAGTGTTTGGGAAGGCAGAGGGGAAGTTTTTTAAGTGATCTTCAGAAGCTTTGAAAAGTCTAGCAACATCTATTTGATAAAACACCCACTCTGAGCTCAGTTTGCCTTTGGTCATCTCTGCATGAGGTGATGCAGGGCAGTGAATGTGGGAGGATAGGCTATGTGTATGCACGAGTGAATGAGTGTCACTGTGTGTTGCAAAACCAAAAGTCACTACCTCCAGCTCCATAACCCATATGTTAATGATTTCAGTCAAAGAAAGAGGATAAGAAAAAAATATTACTATTTAGCAGAAAAATATAATAATACAAAAGAATTAGGATAGAAAATTGGTAGTAGTAGGCCAGGTGTGGTGGCTCATGCCTGTAATCCTAGCACTTTGGGAGGCCGAGGTGGGTGGATCATGAGGTCAGGAGATCGAGACCATCCTGGGTAACATGGTGAAACCCCGTCTCTACTAAAAATACAAAAAATTAGCCAGGTGTGGTGGCAGGTGCCTGTAGTCCCAGCTACTCAGGAGGCTGAGGCAGGAGAATGGCGTGAACCCAGGAGGCAGAGCTTGCAGTGAGCCAAGATCGTGCCACTGTACTCCACCCTGGGTGACAGAGCGAGACTCCATCTCAAAAAAAAAAAAAAAAAGAAAAAAAAAAAAGAAAATTGCTAGTAGTATCCAATATGTGCAGATATAACCATCCTACAGAGAAGCTTCCTGCCTTAGGATGGTTTAATTTAGTAGTTTTTGACTTTATGATGGTGCAAAAGTGATGCACATTCAGTAAAATCTGTACTTCACGTACACCCGTTTTGTTTTTCATTTTCAATATAGTATTCACTAAATTACATGACATTCAACACTTTATTCACTTTATTATGAAATAGACTTTGTGTTAAATGACTTTGTCCAACTACAGGCTAATGTAAGTGTTCTGAGCATATATAAGTTAGTCTAAACTAAGCTATGATGTTCAGTAGGTTAGGTGTATTAAATGAATTTTCACCTTAGGATATTTTCAATTTACAATAGGTTTATCAGGACATAATGTCATTCTAAGTCAAGGAACATCTGTCCTAAGACACTCATTTGCTTCAACTGTTTAGCTTCTTTCTATGCTATCTTAGTTTTGACTTCCTCACGTTCTTGATTCAGCTCTCCCAGTTTTAGGAGATAGTTAATTATTAGTTAGAAGATATCTTGGTCTCTAGAAAGGTTAATTTGTCTTTAATACTGATTCACTGATGAATTAGCCTGAGTGACTTAATGACAATTACTGCTATTTGTAGTGTCTAAACTTCTATTAATAAAAAACCAATTAATGAAAAAAACACTTAGACATTTTTCTGAAATCATTGGCTCAGAATTTTTTCACCCTCTCCTTTTTTTCTTTCTCTTTCTCTTCCCATTTAATACATTTATACTTTAATGCTTTGCCCATCCACAAAATTCAGCTATCTAGCAACCTGGAATTCAGCAAAGAAATGGGAAGTGAGCAAAAACCATGTGTGTACAACCCTACCGTGTCACAGAACTGTGGACAAGTCCATACAACAGAGGCTTTCAATTCTCACCTAGAATCTATATATTTTTATTTTATATAGTTCTGAAGGTTATATTTTCCAATGTGATATTTTCTTCTATAAAATTCTTTTTCTGACTTAAAGTGTTAAACTTTAATTGCAGAAATGAACAGAAATACATAGAACAGTATAATCTGAGAATAATTGTCAGTAATCTTACTATTGTAAACACTTTGGTATGTTTTCCTCACTCTAAGCATTTTTAAAATGTAGTTGGTATCTGGTAGTTTTATTGTAATTTTATATCCTGCTTTTTGCATTTAACATTATTACATAAGCACTTCCTCATTTCATTAAAGCCTCTTCATGTGAAGATAATTTTAATGGCTACATCATATTCTATTTGAAAGTATCACTCACTAAATATTCTCTTATGTTGGACATTTTCATTTTTGTTTTGCTCTTATGAATAATGCTGCAAGAAATAGGAGATTCATTTGTCTGCATTTTATATTACTCTAGAGGATAGACTTCAGAAAACATAAGAGTTTAGAATTGAAACGAGAAGGTGGGGAAGGGGATGATACTTGGAGCAGCAACACTGAAAACGTAAGTAATGAGAGCAAAGAGTAAATCTATAAAAAGCACTTAGATTCCTGACATTGTACTACACTCAAAGTCATATTAGCATTCACAGATTGTATTATAGAGTTCACATTGTTGATCTTCACACTGGTGACCTTGATTCCCAGAGAAAAGGTT